TAACATTCCATATCTCTTGTTTGTGTCTTTCTAATTACAAATATTAATGTTTTGTTTCACCTAGTACCTTGATAGTCCTGTTCTGGATAAACATGCCTTCCTGCAGCACAAACTGAGAGCAAAGATGTGTAAATAATACTTGTAAGCATCCTCAGGACTTCAAAACATTCTAAAATCATTTACTTAACCTTTATGTCACCTCCACCAGGTAACATTACAGATATCCTGAAAATGGGGCATTCTGAATCTGAATTCTTCTGTAGAAAGAATACCTCTTGCTTTTGTAAGAAAAGTTTACTTACTCAACAATACAACCCAAAATTTACATATTTGTAACTCTGTACTTCATTCACGGGCAATATTTTGGTCACCCTTCTGTTTAGGCATAATTGGATCCCATTGCTAACCATCCTCTGATCTTCCCAAAAGGCAATGTTTCCACTTCAGAGCAATCTCAACAGTTGTCTCGGTAAACACATCACGCTGCATCTTCCCTTTCTCAATCCTCAAACAAGCAACAAACAGGCCTTAAAGCTCACCACCACCCCGGCTCTCCCCAGGCAAGCCAGCACACAGGCTTTCAGAAACCTTGCACTTCTGGGTAGCACCAGCTCTTACACACCCTCACTGGAGTGACAGGAGCCTGCTTGCCTCTGCCCTGCCGGACTCACAGCAGTGCCAATAGCTCCCATCACTGACAGCTATCCCAGGATCTCAGCTTTGTAGGGAGAACTAATTAATCCCCCTGTCTACACCATGTTATAAACAATATACCATTCTCACTTGCTTCTTACTTCAGGAAAAAAAGGACCTGCTTTATTCTATCTCAGTGACCTGAGTATGTTAAAAAAAACTGTCCTAAGCTAGAATCAGGATGCTTTCAACTAAGCTACATCATCATGAAAAACACATTTCACCTCAGTCTCAAAACAAACACTGAAACCAGTCCAATACCACCAGGGATGACCTTTTACTAGTCTTTCACTATACAAAATAGCATAAAGACCAAATTCACAGGACTAATTTTGCAGGAAACTATCAACTATAGCTTCAGGGTATAATGTATACTATTCTAGATTTTTTTAAAGGACTTGTAACTTAGAAAAACTCAAACAATTAAAACAGATGAAAACCTTCAACCTTTATCTAAACATCTGCAAGTGAAGTTCAAGAGTTAGCTGTTTCAAACAGTACTGTAGAATAAAAAACATTCTTCAAACATAGACATCATAATAAAGGAGTAAAATACACATGCAACACTTGTACCTAATACAACCAACAGGACTTTTTAGATATGGCAGAAGTCAATACAAGACTTGATTTGTATCCAAGGATTACGGACACAAGAAAGGAGGTGATGGCTCTTCAGAAGAAGACAAAGCCTGGATTCCACTTCCCTCATCCACCTCACCTTTCCCTTTTCCTGCCTTGCTTCCTTGCCTGAAGGCAAAGTCTCTACAGGTCCGCATTAATAAGTATCAGGACCAGATACAAAACTCAAGTACTTGAGGTAAAACACCTTGATTTGCAAAGTCTGAAGTGTAGTTTAGACTTTACCAAGATAGGCATGAGATCTAAAGCACTTTTGTACAACCAGGTTACGTTCTTTAACAAGGAAAACTGTTGTCTCAGTGTAAGTAAATAAACAAAAGAAGTAAATCTCTAGAGCCTCTAATCAGGCAAAATTAGATTCCAGTGTTTTACCTAAAAATATGACATTGTTTCAGCACTACAGAAATGACCATGTTCATAGCAATAATAATATTCTGCTTTAAAAGAACCATGATATAGGAAAATTGGTTTGAAATCACACATTTTAAATCCACATTCGCTGTGAATTTGTTATAATTACAATATTTATTATAATGAGCATTTTCATTTCAACCAATGCAATGAAAAAAAAAAAGTATAAAGCTTTCTCAGTAAGAAGATGAACAACCTGACCAGTCACTAACAGCCAGCCCCTTCACTTTCCTTGTACATAAGAAAGGATATTCCACAATTCCACAGAAATGACTGCTCAGTCCCTTAGGGACCCAGGGAGGAGAGATGCTCCTGCACAATTCTCTGGCAGGAGGTAGCAAAACTTCTCCATTTCCATGATTCCAAGCAATTTCTTGACTTCTGTCTTCTTAAACTACACAGTGGAACACTGGCATCATCAAATCTCACCCAACTGCTGGGACAGGAAGAGCAGACCACGCAACTGGCGTTCTTAAGATGCACTTTTGTACCAGTGTTAGGACTTCGAAATATATCTCAAGTCAAGTCAAGCCACAGAATGACAAAGCCCCAAGCCAAAAGTCCATCTGCCAGGGGCAAGAGCAATTCTGCACTCCCAGGAATAGGAGGTGCCCCAGAAATCACCAGCTGAGTGAGGAAAAAACATTAAAGCTTGAGAGGTTAAGAAAAATCTGAAAAAGAACTTTGCTAGCAATTATTTTCTTCGTATGTACAAATACACAGTTTGGAAAAAAAAAAAAAAAGAAGAAAAAAGAAGAAATTCAGACCTCTCTTTAAGAATCCTTGGATTCAAATATATATATTTATTAAAAAGAGACATTGGCTCTATGGCCAAGACATTATGCGTCTCAGAACAGGTTTTTACAGCCATGTTATAAAAACCCCTTAGCAAAGCAGTTATGCACTAGACTTCAAACACATGTACTCCAAGAATGACACTGGTGTGGAGGATCTTGTTTTACATCCATTTATTTTTGTCCCTCAGCAATTATAGCATATTTTCAATACACTTCTAAAGTTATAGAGAAATACCAGGGCAACTAGAGTACATACAAGCCAAAGTTAAAATGGTAGACAGCTGAATTAAAAAACAAAAAAACAAAAAAAAAACAAACCAAACAAAAAGAAGTATGCATTCAGCAGGAAATCTACTATACTTCATTCAGTTTAGGCTTTGTTCTTTAGGGAACAAGGTGCTAACGTGCCATTTTCTCATAAAATGAATCATAATTGCTTCCAAAGAGTTTCTGCTGAAAATGGTGGAAGCAAATAAGTGTAACACTAAACTTTCTCCTATAAACTTAGAAGCAACACTTTCTTGAATCAATTTCCACCCTCCAAACACCACTGCTGCTTTTCTTACATGAACTCACTGTTTTATTAAGGCATAATTGCCCTGAGCAATATGCTGGAAATTAGCCAAAAAGCCTAACAATTAAAGGCAAGCACCAAGTAATATTTTTTTTTAATTGACAAATTTTGAAATCTGTTTTGAAACTCACCTGTACTTGGGAGTAGCACTTGAGGAAAAAAAGAAAATATTGCTTTTAATTACTTTAAGTAGAATGGCAGTGTTAGTTTCCCCCTTTTCCTTCCAGGCTAAAGTTTTCAAGACAATCATCGAGGCACCAAATCAGGACCAGCATACCAAGACCTAAGTGGGACAGCTGTTCAAGAGCTTAATTTTAAGCAACTCAGCATAAAAATTTTGGTGCCCCACCCTAAGCAATTCAAATGAAATCTCATTTTCCTCAAGAGGCAAGATCCTCATACAATGGATACATCTGGTCTTAAAAGCAAGATGGAGCCTGGACAGGAGAATCATACACTACATGCTCAGACTGCTTTCCAGTCTTCTTTTCAAAGCCAGAAAAGCCTACAAATTACCTGGTGCACTGCGCACTTTCTCTGTAAAATGCACAGTGTTACAGAGTCCAAGATCCAGGAAGGTACTTTTCAAAGCTAGTGCTAACAGCACACATGACTGTCTCTGTACAAATTTAGGCAACACTGACTAGTCCCTTTAAGCTACCAGAGTATCCATAAAAGAAAGACAACCAAATTATACATTTTATTCACATTTATTTTTCGCTTTTAGTGTGCTCACAGAAAATTAGAACACCTTAAGCAGGAGTTTAATAGCAATTTTTGTAAGCAAAGTTACATTCCATCTCTAAGTCAAATTGGTCAAAGCTTCTCCAGTATTTACAAAAACATGATAGACAAGATGCTACACAAAAAAAAAAAAAAAACATTGCATCTGAAGAGTTTTCCTTTATTTTCAAAGACAACTGGAAAAGAAAGCATTGTCTGCTGTAATCAAAAACATACCACAGTATAAACAGTAACCATTCCACTTATCACAGCTTGGTTGAGTTTAAAATTTGTGTTTAAAAGGTCCAAGATGACTGCAGTTTTACAAAAATGGGCAGGGTGGAAAGAGTTGCAAACTTCATGTGCTTCTGGATATCAAGATTTGTTTTTTTTATACAATAGTCACAGTTAAAAACACCCTGCTGGTAATACATAATTACACTTTATTAAGGTCATAAACCAGCAATAAACAATAAAGCCTATACAACTTGTATTTCTACTTAATCACTGACTGATACAGCTAACATGAGATAAGTGAAAAGTTCCTATGGTTTAAATGAATTTCTAAGACTATGATCTCTTTATCTGGGTATTGATTTTTATTTTTTATTTTTTTTTTCCTTTTTCCTTTCCTTCTTAATCAAGACTTGTAGTGTTGTAAACCTTATAGAACATCTGCCTCACAAAATACATCGTAATAACTTTCTTTTAAAAAAAAGACTAACCCCTTACATCATTTCTGGCGGGGCGCGCTCCCGGCAAGGGCTGCGCGCCCCGGGTTCCCCACTGCGGCCCCTGTCACTTCATTTGATATCCCTTATTGACCCACCCATCTCCTTCATATATGGGCATGTCCATAGACCGATCGGCAAAAGTTTTATAATATGAAGAGAGTTGCAAAGTATGAAATTAAAAAAGAAACGAACAAAATTTTAAAAAGCAAAAAAACCAACGAAAAAAAAAAACCGAACCAACCAAAACGAAACATTAATACTGATGAAAAAAAAACCCCAAAAAAACCAAAAATATAAAGGATGGGAGAGGAAGGCGGAGGGGAGCCCCCCTCCGCCCGTTGGAATGGCGGCAACATATAACGATTTGAGATGGGAGCTGCGGGGGGAGAGAAAAAAAAGAAACGAGACATCTTTTAAATCAATCCCTGGTTGTAGACAAGTTCTCCGAGACCAGTACCTGGCACCACTCCAAAAACAAACAGGGGGGAAGAAAAGTCCGTCGGCGAGGGGCGGCGGCGGCGCTGACTACTCCGCCGACTCGGCGGCGGGTCCCTCAGGACTGCTCTCGGCGGGGGGCTCCTGCCGCGCCGGCTCCTCCGCGGGGGCCGCCTCCTGCTCGCCGCTGCCCGCCTCATTCGTGGCGGCGCCGGCGCCCGCCGCCTCCTCTGCCTTCCCCTCCGCTGCCTGCTGAGGCGGCTGCTGCTCCTCGGCCGCCGCCGATGCCGGGGCCTCTTCTCCCGCCGCCTTCTCGGGGGCGGCCTCGTCCGATTTGGCCTCCTGCGAGTCCCCGGCGTCCTCCTTCGCCGCCTCGGCGCTGCCGGCCGCGCTCGCCTCCTCGGCGGCCGCCTTGCCCTCCTCGCTGCCCGCCGCCTCGGGGGCCGCCGCCTCCTCCTTCCCGCCCTCCGCCGCCGCGGCGGCGGCGGCGCCCTCGCCCTCGGCCCCCTCGCCGGCCTCCTTCTTGTTCTTCTTGAAGGAGAAGCCGCTGAGCTTAAAGGACTTCTTGAAGGAAAAGCGCTTCTTTTTTTTTTTCGGGGTCTCGCTGCTGGACGAGGGGGTCGCGCCCTCCTCAGTCTTGGGGGAGGACTCGCCCTCCGCCGGGGAGGCCGGCTCGGTGCTCTCCGCCTCTCCCGCCTCCTTCTCGGAGGCGGGCTCCGACGAGGCCGCCTCCTCTTTGCCCGTCTCCTCGGCGGGCGCGCTGCCGTTCGCCTGCACCTCCTCCTTGCCCGCCTCCGCCGCCGCGGGGGAGGCGTCGCCGTTCACCTTCAAGTGGCCGTTCTCCTGCAAGACAAGGACCAGCGTTACCGGCGGTGCCTGGGGGGGGGGGGGGGGGGGGGTCGCGGGGTGCCGCCGCCCTCCCCGCCCGCCGGCCTCGCCTCGCCGCTTCCCGCGGTTCGATGCCCCGCGCTCTCGCCGGGCCGAGCGCCCCCAGCGGCGGGCGGAGCGCGCGGCGGCCGCCAGAGGGCGCCCCGGCTCCACGCAGCGGCGGCCGCGCCGCGCTCCCCCGCCCTCGGCGCGCCCCGTCCAAGCCGCGGCGGCGGCGCGGGGCGGGGAAGGCGAACAAAGCTCGCCCGGCCCGGCCCCGGCCCCCCGCCCGCCGCGGCCCCTCTGCGCCCGGGCGGTGCGGCGAGGCGCCCCCCGCCTCCCCCTCCCCTCCCCACTCACGCCGTATTTGCATCTTTCGGGCGCCCGGAGCGCGGCTGGCTGCCCGGGGCGGCAGCTGCGGGGGCGGCGGGGGGTGGCTGCCCGCAGCGCCGCCGCCGCCGCTGCCAGCCCGGCTCACGCGTGGGGAGGGGGTGCGGATGGGTGACAGATAGCCGTGCCCCGCGGCTGCCGAGCCCCCGGCGGCGCTGCCGTGGACGGGGCGGGCGGCGCAGCCCCCGGTCCGCGCTCCCGCCCGAGGGGGCTGCCCGCGGGGGCTCCTGCCCGGGGGCTCCGGGCCCCGCTACCACACGGCCGTCCGGCTGTGCCGCGAGAGGCACCGAGTGTCTTCGGGAGGAGGTTAAGCGGGCAGAAAAGCCAAGCTTTGTAAGATCCTTCCGTTTACGAGCCATTGGGACGCTCCACCATAATACACGAGGGATTTAAAAAAAAGAAAGAAAGAAAGAAAGAAACGTGCCCCTTCCCCCTCCCGCCCCCCACGCAGGAAAGATAAAGGAAGGAATCATTCAAAGCCGAGCCCGTTTAACCAAAATAAAGAAATTATTCCTTTGCCTCGAGTTGCAAAGATAAAAGGATCGACCGTATTCTCCATTGAATGTGCCACTGGGGCATCAAAGGAAGAAGAATTAAACAGGATGCGAAAGAGAGTCCGTCGAAGTTGGCTTAAAAAAAGGAGTAGATTTAATATTTTTAAAAATTTCTTTTCGTTTTTTACCTGTCCATTCGCCTTGGATGGAGATGCAGCCACTGCTTCCCCAGGTTTCTCGGCGGAGGCTTCGCCCTTTGCAGCGGTCTTGGAGAACTGGGCACCCATGCTGTCTTATTCAACAAAGAAACTCAACAGATCCAAAAGGAGGGGAAACAAAGAGCGTTGGGTTGGTATAAATACTGGGCGACCAGCAGCAGCAGCAACACACACACACACCAGAGGGGAAAAAAAAAGAGAAGAGAGAACAGAACCGATTATAATGCACTCCTTTTAAAAAATTTAAAGTTGAAGAGATCAAAAAGCAGCAGCACAGGAGGGAGGGGAAAAAAAGGGAGGAAAAAGTCGAGCAAAAAAAAAAAAAAAAGGAGCCCAAGTTTAGTAAAAAAGAAGTAATAAAAAATCCCAGATTTGTAGCCGTACTGTAGACAAGGAGAAAATGGAGAAATCTCCCTGGTTGCTAATAAGATGCGGAGTCCAACGCCCAAGTGCACAGATGAATGGGCTTCCCGAGCGGTGACGGCAGCGCTCCGCCCGGCGCCGGCCAATCGCGGCCGCCGCGCACAAAGGGGGGCGGGGCCCGCCCGCCCGGCGAACAATGGAGCCGCGATGGCAGCGGTTTGAAATCGGCCCCCGGCCGATAATGAATGTACCGCTCCGCTCCACTCCGTTCCGCCGCGGCGCGGGCGGGCGCGCCGGGCCCCGCGCCGGGCCGCCAACAAAACACCCCGAGCGAGAGAGCGAGAGAGAGAGCGGGGCGGGCGGGCAGGGACAATGGTGCGAGGGGCGTGCGGGTGAGTGCGAGTGCGAGTGTGAGTGAGAGCGTCCCGGCCCCGCCGCACGCCCCCGCCCGCTGCTGCCGCCGTGAGAGAGCAACAGATAGTGTGTGCGAGCCCCGGGCGGGGGAGAGCGAGGGAAGGAGGGGATTTGCTGCTTGCTTTTTTTTTTTTTTTTTTTTTTTTTCCCTACCCCTTTGTTTTTTTTCCCTTTTCTTTTCTTCCCCGGGTTTAATTGGTCGCGATTGTTAAATCGCCCCCAATTTGGAAGGTATTTGAACCACGTAGATCGGGTTTCGCCGAACGAGATCACGAGTTGAAATTACTAGGTCTGTAGGCCAGATGTTGCAAACGCTAAAGCAGTGGCAGCAGGAGCCGCTGCCGGAGCAGAAACGGACCCCTCCCCCATAGCGATATTGGCTTGGAATAAAATATTTTGTGATTAGCCTACGGCTCTAATTAAATTCTGCTGTCTGATTATTCCTGATTTGTGTTTTTAAAGTATTTTCTGAGGCGGTGACCCACTTCACGATTACATTTCCATGCACTCAAGTAGTGGGCGAAGCGACATTATCAGGGAAACATTCACGCTTTCCCAAACCTCAGCCCCGAGTGTGTATTTACGTTAAATTTAAACCCTCGAATAAAGATGTAACCCGAAACTAATGCATGCGAATTAACGGTGATCTGGAACGTTTATCAGCGCTGGGGTGGGCGAAATATCACGGACCCGAGTGATTTCCTTTCTCGGGGGAGGGGGCGGCGTGTGCGAGGAGCCGGCCGGCTCCCTCCCTCCGTGCTGCGATGCGGGGAAGGCTGGCCTAGACCCCCTCCCCCTTCGCCGGCACCCCCATCCCCTTTTAAGGAGCAGAAACGAGCGTCAGAACGATCGTTTCCCATAGTCGGGTAATCTCCTCCGAACGCCTCTTGTTTATAAACAAGGATGTTAAAATGATTCCGATAATGAAGGGCTGCGGAGCGGGGAGGCTCGGCTCAGCCGCCCACCTCCCTCTCCCCGTGGATTGCCGGGGCTGGCGGGAGCGGTGGGCTTCGTGCGGACGCCGAGAGCCGCCTCTCGGTAGCCCCGGCGAGGGCAGCCGGGTGCTTTCAACCGCTCGAGGGGATTACTTGGTTTCTTGGGGGGGCAAAAGGGGCATTTGGCTGGTGTTTTTCACGAGGAGGATCAAACCTCTCCCTCCCTCCCTCCCGCCGCATTTCACGCACAGCCCCGCCGCAGCCACTGCCGCCGCTCCCTTTGTCTCGGCCGCCGCCACCCGCCCCGCCGAGCACGGCGCAGCAGCGTCCCGCTCCCCCGGGGCAGCCCCCCACGCCCACCCGTGCCCGCACAGGCAGCACCGCAGCCCCGGGGCGGGGGGCGGCCGCCGGGGTGACCGCCCACGGCACGGCAGGGCGGGGGGTGCCGGGGCCGCCGCGCCCCGAGGCTCCCTCGGCGGGGCGGTTTCCCTGGCGACGGCGGGGGGCGGCGGGGCCTCCACGGTGGGATCGGAAGCGGAGCGGGGCGGGAGCGGCTCTGCCCGCCCGGCGTCACCTGCGGCCGCCGGCCCCGCTGCTGCTGCTGCGGGCTGGGCTGGGCTGGGCTGGGCTGGGCTCGGCGGGGCCGGGCGGGGCCGGGGTCGCGGCCGGGGGCGCCGCGGCGGCGGGAGCGCTCTCCGGGGATCTGCCGGCTGCCGCCCCTCCCGGGCGGGCTGGCGGAGCGGTGTGCGGCGGCGGGCACCGGCGGCAGGAGGGATGGAGCGAGCTGCGGAGCGCTCACCTTATGGCGTGACGGCACCGCAACCGAGGGGCACGGCCAGCCGGACTGCTTCCTTCTTCGGGATCCTCCCCCGCTTCTCAACTGCACGCGTTGTGTTTTGGCTGCTCCTTTTAATCTGGATATTAAGGAAGTCGTGATTTTGTTGGTGGTGGTTTGGGTTTTTATCTTTTTAGACTGGTTTATGTAACAGATCACCTAAGAAGACCTGGTGGAAGACCATGACCGGACTTCGCAGTCAGTATCAAAAGGCACCTGTCCATCCTGAGCGGGTATATGCAATTTCACCGGCACGGACATGCATTTCTACTTTCCATCGTAGCTACGTCTGAATTTCAGAGTAGCGTCACTGGAAAATTTCACATGGTGACTTGGAATTTAGACGGTGTGTTTTGCGTTATGCTTTTGATATGTTTTTCAACCATTTCAATGTTTTACAACTTGAAAAGAAAAAGCGAAAGTAAAAAAGACTAAGTCTTGATTGATCTTACTGTAGGTACTTAGTTCCACAGGTTCTTCTGTAGAGCCTCTGGACAAGCTCAGGAAATCTGGGATATTTGTATGGTCCCTCTGTCAGTTCCAGTGCAATTAAAACCTGGACAGCTATCTCTGACCCAAACCCTTGACCGTAGGGTGCAAATACAAGATTTAACCCCTCGAATGACCTCTTGAGCCCATCAGCTACCAGGCTGCTCCTTGTCACACCACGCCTTTACGCACCAAGCAAAGAGATACGCTGGAGGGGAGATTCCTCTTTCTTAAACTTGTACTTTACTCAAGTTCCTGGTCTTTTAATCTCCTTCCAAGAAGCAGGGAGAGGGAAAAGAGAGAGACAAAAAAAGACAGACAGACAGAAAGACCTCCTTAGTTTTTTGTAACAGGACTAATCAGTTACGAAGATGAGAATAATACTTTTCTGTTGTGCCTTCCACATAAAAAGTTGTCATAGAATTTCTGTGGCAGGAGCAAGGATGCACCAGTGTAAAGTTGCTTGTGTATAAGGTGCTGGAGATTTAGTGTCTGAAAAAAGCAGTACTATTGTCAAGTGTATTTGCACAGAATAGAATATTCTTAGTTGGAATTTGTGTTAAGGCTTTTACCACAATAGCTGTGTCAGCAAAAAAAACATATTCCCCCCTGTGTCATGTGTAGTGATCCTTCTAAGAACATGACAACCATAACTGAGAGACAGCTCTGTGGAGCCCCAAAATGAAGAAGAGACAAGGCTGGGGAGCTGTTCTCCGTGGGGTAGGGGGGGCAGGGAAGCAGGATTTGCCTCCCCTTGCTCCTCCAAAGGTTTAAGGGCTCTATCATTGCAGATTTCTAAAAATGAGTTGCACGCTCTAGATGAAGTTGTCTTTTTGCAGTACTTCCAAAAGGTGACTCCAATCAGCACATTTTTCCTGAGGTATTTTCATCCTCAACCTTTTGGGAAGGTGGAAGACTGAGGTGTAGAATGATAAAATGCTTTGTACAGGACTGCCCAGCAAATGAGCCTTGCAGCTGACTGTGTTACTGACTCTTGGCTGTGACTTGATGATCATTAATAATAAATCTGTGCCTTGCAGCCACAACTTTGGGCATAAACACAAACCTTCCTGTCAAGCTAGCCAGGTATAAGTGTGGTATGTAGTGCTTATGTCAACTTTGCACTAACATTCTGTGGGGAGGCTAGGAAAAAGCTGATAGCTTTTGGCCCAAGAGCAGCTGAGGCAAAGTTGCTCCTGAAAAGTATTTGGCCACAACTGGAACGAAAGCTGAATGTGGTGCCACACTCTGGGTTATGTGGCTATGGAAATTCTGACCTTACATCAGGTACTCTGAAGCTGCAACTTGCCACCCTATGAAAGCATGGCTTCTGACTCCTGCAGCTACTGCCAAACCTCCCAACTCACTTATACCCAGTTTTTTTTTTCTTTTCCCAATACTACCTAAGACATTCATTTTATCCATTCCTGAAATACAGGTGAATGAAATGGTATTTTCATTTGACAGTTGACAGGAAAAGGAGAAAGCTGCTCAATAACAGCTCCCCACCAGTATGGCAGCTTCTTACTGGAGTGCCAGAAAAACCCATCAGTGACACTCACACTCTGCTAAGGTAAAAGCACAATCATGAACATGTTTTAACTCCTGTTAAAATTTGAAACTTTTAAAAACATGTCCTAACTTGCCACGCATAGCTGGGACACAAATGTATTTTAACTTGTTTGCTGGCAAATGCACTAAAATGCAACACACCCTGTCAACACTGAGAATCTGAAAACACGTTAATTAAAAGTTTTCACTGACACCTTTTTTTTTTCTTAATGCACCTTTATCCTCGTCCAGACAAGCCTTTAAAGAAAGTGAATCTACAAGTGGTTTTGGGAGCAGGAATCCAATGTTTACAGAATTCCTGAAACAGCGTGTGCTTTCTAGTGTTCACATTGTGACACTCTCCTGGGTGACCTGAGCTCTGAGGAGGTGCTGGGAAACCTCCTTGGGTCCTGGGGTGTGCAGAGATCTTTCCTGTGTGCAGAGACAGCAGCAAGCAAACTAAAAAATGATAATAAAATTTTACTCTGAGATATATTATTCACTATATGTTCATCTACGACAAGTCCTTTCTTCTCTTGTCCTTATATAGAAACAGTGTTTCTATATAATAGACATGAATATGACAGAAAACATAATTTTTTCATAGGAACTTTCAAACTGGGACAGTTCTGGTAACAGGGGAACAGGAGGTAAATATGAGGTAAATAATGTTAAAAGTTTCAAAACTAAATTCAGATATTCAGAATTGTTGCATCTTTTCCAGCTTCTTAAAAATGAGTGTTTCATGATGTCTGAATCTGTGCTGAGATTTCCTACTGACACATCACTTCAGTTTCTTCCAGCTTTGCTCCAGTTTGGTGAAATGCTATAAAAAGCTTTTAACCTTTATGTCACTCACAACCATTACAAGTCCTTTACTAATATTTGCCAAGCTTTTATTAACTGAATACATTCAACAATGTTTGTTAAATAGGATCCAGACTGTTTGA